AAAAGATACTGATACCCGTCATGGGGTTCTTGTCAAATTACCAATAAAAATTATTGCAAACCATTTAATGTTCAGTGTAACTCTTTGAAAATGGGTGTTTAATGGGATTTAAAACTTATTGTGTATACATTATCCTGGAATTTGTGTGGTTAGAGTGGGACAGGGCTGTCATAAGCAAGCAAGCCAGCGTGTTTTCTTTTTTTCTTTTGTTTTTGTAAATGTCTCTGATAAGAGAAAACCTAAATCGCACAATGGACTTCTTCAAAAAGAATATTTGATGCCTCCCTCTTGAAAAATAAATGAAATGCATTTTTCAATTCTTTTTTGTTTTTCCAAGCTGACATCAACAGTTATGATAAAATATCCCCTTTTAGTTGGGGACTGGTCAGTCCCTTCTTCCTGTGTGGGAAAGTTTGCCCTGAAAGCTTCATATCCTGAGTTGTGATATGGAAACCTCAGGTCTCCAATTTATTTGTGTTTTAACAGGACTGCCTGTGTCACTGCAAGGGTACTACATCAGTTTCCTGCAAATGTGCTAATAGGCCATATGAGAGAATTCTACAAGCATCCATCTGCCGATTTTTAACAAGCCTGATTGGCAAGTGGATGTAACAACTGACATCTGTTCTTCCTTATTGATATGTAGATTTATGGTAATTGCTGTGAACAATAAGACACCAAATTACCTAAGGTGAACATTAAATTAAATTTTCATAGCCTCTCTCCTTATAAATACATTTTATAAAAATCTTACATTTCAAGCAGACATATTGTACATCCATTATAAGCATAATTTAATTGTATTTTTAATCTGCCAAGCAATGAAAATCTGAGTTGTGATTCTTGCTGTAGAAAATATTACCCTATTTTGATAGCTGAGCAGTTTATATTATTGAAATCAATTAAATGTCACATTTATTCTCAGCATTTTTTTCTCCAGCATAAAAACTAAGGAAGCATATCTAGAGGCTTGTTTCTCCAAAGGGTACCTCTCTTCCTTCTGCCCCTCCTTTCTAGTGTAAATAATTAACATTTCTTCCAAAAGTACTGCGTTTGTAGAATATTTAGTAGTTTCAGCAGAAAATTATCAGATTATTTTTCATTTCATTTTACTGTGGAATGTAGGGGAGAAGCCACAATAGCAAAAGAAAAGGCCTCATGCTCCTATATTTTGGATGATAATTCTCAAGCAGGTTGAGAAATAAAGAACAACTAGATTTATTTATTTATTTATTATGTATTTATGTATGTATGTATGTATGTATTTATTTATTTATTTATTTATTTATTTATATTGCCTCCTATTCGCCCATGGCGACTCGAGGCAGCTTACACAATGTAAAACCATATTTAAAACAAAAAATAAAAATAATAAATAATAAAAACTAACAAAAATAATCAAATAAATGAATAAAGTACAATGGAACAAAATCGGGGGGGGGGGGAATCACCCCCAACTCCCACCCACACCCACCCCTATGGCAACAGATCCACCCTAGCCATTTGATGGGGTCCATCCCGCTCTGGGTTCCCCAGGCCCGCTGGCAGAACCAGGTCTTCAGTGCCTTCCGGAAGAGAGCTAGAGTCGGGGCCCATCTAATCTCTGGGGGAATGATATTCCAGAGAGAGGGAGCCACCACGGAGAAGGCCCTTCTTCTGGGTCCCACCAGGTGTATCTCCCTCAGGGATGGGACCCACAACATTCCCTGCCTCCCCACTCTAATGGGTCAGATAGATGTGACCAGCAAGAGACATTCCCTCAGATAACCCGGTTCCAAGCCACGAAGGGCTTTAAAGGGGACAACCAGCACTTTTAAAAAGATGCAGAGCAATGAGATGTAGAACCTCATCCTGGAAATTATAGGTACCACAATCAACCCCAAAATTTATGTTGCTAGGTGAGACAGTTGTTAAATTAGTTTTGTCCCCATTTTATCGCCTTTCTTCCCATAGTTGTTAGGTGAATCACTGCAGTTGTTAACTGAGAAACCTGGTTGTTAAAGAGAAACCAGCTTCCCCATTGACTTGACTTCTCAGAAAGTCACAAAAGGTGATCGCATGACCCTGAGATACTGCAACCGTCATAAAAACAAGTCAGTTGCAGGCATTTGAATTTTGATCATGTGACCATTGGAGTGCTGCTACCGTCGTAAGTGTGAAAACGGTCGTGTCACTTTTTTCAGTGCCGTTGTAACTTCGAGTGGTCCCTAAACAAACTGATGTAAGTCGAGGACTACCTGTACAAGATAATGCTTTCCATTCACACCTCTATCCACTCATCCTCCATTTCAGGTGTGCTGTCTAGGGCTGCATCTGATTTGGTCTTGCAAACCTGTGGTTGAATTCTCCCTTTCCTCCAGGGGAAAGGCAGAGTCAGGCCAAGCAGCCATTCCTGTCATCCTCAAGATCTGATGGTTTTAATAAAGGCAGCTTAATAAAGGTAGCTACCCTGGTAACTGAGGATGAGAACACATCCTGGCTGGATATTTATTTAGCTGAGAAAAGGTTTAGGTGATAAACAGAGCCAACGCATGAATATCTCCATGATTATACAGTTCCATCCCATTATGTCAGCCATTAGCACTGTGAAATGAGTGTGTTCTGGGCAAAGTTGGCAGCGGGTTCAAAAGAGGTCCTCTGATTTATCCATGGCACAAAGTCATGAAAGAAAAGCAGAGCTTATCTGCACGAAGTGCCTTGTTGCACAGTATGGTCTGTTAAATATAAATCTCGTCCAATTATTTGGAGGTATATGAATTGACAAAGGACAATGAGATGTTGTTGGCTCTCTCCTCTTTGTTTTGAATCTTGGCTGGGTTTTTTCCAACTCCCAGAAAGATTTGTTTTAGTACCTCTTTGGCAGGTAGCTGTTACATGGATGGAATGAGATGGGATGGGATGGAACGGAATGGGAAAAGGAATAGAATAATAGGGTAGAATGGAATGGAATGGAATGGAATGGAATGGAATAGAATGGAATAGAATAGAATAGAATAGAATAGAATAGAATAGAATAGAATAGAATAGAATAGAATAGAATAGAATAGAATATAGAACCGGGGTGGGTTTCTACCGGTTCTGTCCACTTCTGTAGAACCGGTAGCTCTGAAGAGCAGCAGACATAGAGCCGGTTCTATGTCTGCTGATGTTTTTGCCCACCTGCCCACCCAGGCTCTTACCTGATCTTTATTTCCTGATTTTTCAACTTCAACTGCTGAACAAGGCACAGCTGCAGTTAAAAAAGCAGGAAAAGAGGGCTGTTTCAAAGGCTGCTTCTCTGCATGCAGCCTGCTGATGACGATTTACAGGCATGCGACTCCCAGCGTGCAGGGAAGCTCGTAAATCCCGAACCCGTAGTTAACCCTGTCGTATCCCACCCCTATGTAGAATGGAATATAGAACGGAACAGAACAGAACAGAATAGAATAGTTGGAAGGGACCTTGGAGGTCTTCTAGTGCAAACCCCTGCTCAGGCAGGAAATTTCTACTAGTAGGTAGAGGCTTTGAGAAAGATCCTGCCCCTTATTTATTCTCACATCCATCACCGGAAAATTATTACATACACCAAGTTTTCTAAAGAGTGAAAAATATGAGGAATCTGTTTATGCCTTTTGCATTAGTTGTTTGACATGCACACCTATTTTTTCTCTTATTGAAACTTCCTGCACAGTCTGTAATCTTGATCTTCTTGGGATTGTGTGGAAGTTTGCATGTATTAATTAAATTTTCCATGGTTAAAGTACCTTCAGAACTCTGAGTAAATAAATGTTCAGCGAACATGTTTACTGGAATGGAAATTGTTTCAAATGTATGACTAAGATGACTTCTCCTAATTCTGAGCCCCAGTGGATTTGACTTTACAGCAAATTATCCCCGGCAAAACCAGACTGATGGATTGTTAGGCAGTAACGCAGCCTCTTCTCTTCTCTTCTCCCTTTTGAAGTAGAAGCATCACTGTTAGATAACAACGTATTCTTGTGATGCTTTCTAAAAAAAATTTGCAAGGCTTTTTTTCTGCTGCTCGTTTTTGACATACGTTTTGATAAACAACTCAGAGCTATCCCAAGATAATTTCTCCTGCATTTTTGATTGTGGCCTCATGGCACAACTCATGCTTCCCATTCATGAGGGCTCGTGCTGAGTCCCTGTCATCTGGTCCATCAGAACAGGTTTCTTTTTAAAAATGAAAATCAAGAAAAGTAGAAAATGACAGTCTTTGCAAATCCCAAGTCAAGTTAGACTTTATTTTGGTGAAAGGCCACTACAGAACAAAATCGTTAACGAGCGGTTTAAAAGTAAAAGAGGAGGACCAGACAAGCTGAAAGGATACAGGTAGCCCTCAACTTAACGGCTACCATGGAGCCCAACATTTCTGTTGTTAAGTGAGACATTTGGTATGTGAGTTTTGCCTCCTTTCATTAACTTTCTTGCCACCGTTACTAAGTGACTTGCTGCAGTTGATAAGTTGGTAACCTAGTTGTTAAATGAATCTGGTTTCCCCATTGACTTTGCTTCTCAGAAGGTTGCAAAAGGTGATCGCCGTGGTGGCGCCACGGTGGCGCAGTGGTTAGAACGCAGTATTGCAGGCTAATTCTGATGACTGCCAGCAGTTCGAGCCTCACCAGCTCAAGGTTGAACTTAGCCTTCCATCTTTCCGAGGACGATAAAATGAGGACCCACATTACAATATGCTGACTCTATAAAACTGCTTAGAGAGTTCTGTAAAAGCCCTATGAAGAGGTATATATAAGGCTAAGGGCTATTGGTTTTGCTATCACATGACCTTGGGACACAGTGACGGTCCTAAGTGTGAAACAGTTACCAAGCTTCTGAATTTTGATCAAATGATCATGGGGATGCTTCACTTTTTTCAGTGCTGTTAGAACTTTGAATGTTCACTAAACGAATTGTTGCAAGTCAAAAGCTACCTGTATGGTGGATTTAAAACAAATCGTTTGGGTTTGGAAATCGACTTCACCAGCTCTCTGTTTTCTCTGCAGGAATGAATGCTTTACAGCTACAAAATTTGGCAACCTTAGCAGCTGCAGCGGCCGCGGCCCAGTCCTCAGCCAACACCACCAATGCGAATCCACTCTCCACAGCATCAGGGGCCCTTGGTGCGCTCACAAGCCCAGGTACGTTTGAGCTTCTTTTCACCTTGGTTCCAAAGAAGGATGTCAGGATTCTGACACTTAACCCCATTTAAATCATGAATCTCTAGCCAAACTCCAAAAGGATTTATTGGGAGTTAAAAGATGCGGCATTGCCTGGGTGTAGTCGACTCTGAGACACATAATTCATTGTCACCCTTAACCCTCATTTTCCCTCACCCCCTGGGTGTATCATAATTCATATTCTCCAATGGGACACATCCATAGCCAAGAGTCATCAATCATGCTCTCCAGTTAGAATTTTGCGGGGCAGAAACCTCAGTCACCTAGAAACTATCTTTGAAAACATTTATGGAATGCAAGGTGCCCACTGCTTCCCCTTCCCTTTCTGTTGACAACTCTAAAAGACCACAGAAATATTTTATGAGTTGACATAAGAGGGCAAGTAGATTTAAACATTAGCCTCCTTCTAGCCATGCGTCCAGTGTGATGCTGGTACAAGAACGATAGGTCCATTGGAGATTTTATTCCAGTGTATTCTCTTTGTGTGTGGTAAAACAGGTTTTCTTTCATCAACAATGGAAACTTGGTTGGGGCAATGCCTGAATGTTTTAATGGTCTGCATTGCAGGGGTGTTTTCAGAGGGAGGTCCAAAAGTCAAGATAGCAGCCACGTCGGTGCATTTGATGTTCCCCTCTCTTTTTTATTTGTGTCGTTTGATTATTCCATCACAGCTGCCATCTTGGCCTATGGGGGTATATCTTACAGACACCCTTCCTGCGCTGAATTGTGATTTCAAACATGTATTAATTGTGTTATTTTAAATTTTAATGAGGACTTCAGATTGGGGAATCTTAACGGGGAAGCATTCAAAATGTGTCTGTCCTATCTATTGCCAAGTTTTTTTTTTTTGAAAAGACGTTTATCTACTTCACATTGCTAACCTTCTCAAATAAGAGGACAGATTTTTAACCAGGGGATAATAATTCATTCATGGATTGTTGCAGGCAATTTAGTCTTGAGAATTTGGGGAGCCATATTTCATTGTGAACATTTTCTATATGCTTATCTATTTTCTTTTGATATTTTTAAAAAATAATGATAATTTATTTTATTTTGCATTGCACTTACAAAAAATTTATCCTGGTTTTGTCTGTTACCATATTTATCCAATTGTGTCAACTGTTTTTATTTCATTTCGAAAAACCCAGAACGTTAAGAATTCTAGAAAACATGGAACCTTCTTTGATAACTGTGGTTTTAACAAATTCTATTTCTTTTAATTTTGAACACTCTTGGTTTTCTCTTGAAACTGCTGAAAAGCTTTTCAGAGGAAAAGACAAATGTCCTTCTGTGTCCCTTGGCAGAAATTAAATCAAGTTCTCACATCAGGATCAATTTAAAGATTTGTGCTATGACCCTATGTAATATCTAATTCATTCAATTCCTAAAATGCTACTTCATACAAATGATTGTAATTCTTAAGAGATTCCACAGACATCATGGCCCTATAGTGCAGGAATAGCCTTTTCCCTTAGCTTTTTGTCTTGAAGCAAAGCATACTTTAGTTGGCTTGTAAATTATTCCCTTTTTAACATCATATATTTCTATGGTGCACAGTTTCAGCTCCGTTATGAACTTTCATGATTCATGGCAGCCATGCAAAATACCTTGTGTGTTTTCTCTTTGAGAATGGGAATGTGGAAATCTACCATTGCTACATTTTTGTCACACTGATCAGACCAACAATTCTGTCTCAAGTGGTCAAGCAAAGAAGAAATTTATTCTCGCTGTTTTCTTCTAAGTCAGCCAGCAACCTTTTCCTTCTTATCTCTTTGCTCCAGAGCTGGACAAATGCTCAGTGACCAGTAATGCTTAGTATTTGCAGATTTCAGATGTATCTTATGTTCCTTGATTTGCTGCACAATCCCCTTGGTTGACTTTTCCCACATTTTAATGCTATCTGTATTGTGGATTCCACATCTGGCACCCACATTTATACCGTTTTTAGACCCGATTTAGGATTTACGCAGCTGAGTAGCGGTTGGCAGAGAATGGAGTGCAGAATAATCCTACATAGGGATTAAATACCAATTGAAGATGATAAAAGCAAATGGAATTATTGAAGACAACACACAACTTTGTGTGGGGTGGGGCTTTCTGTTTGCTTCCACCCCGTGACATCATTTGGCCCACAAGGATGGAAATACAACAGGATTGGATCCTTTTCCATACCCCATCACAATCAAATTAAAAGCAGATTTCGCATGCTTTGGGTATGTGTTGTGGGGAGTTGTGTTGCCAAAATCTACTTATCCACCTACTAAGTTGGATGATTTTGAACTACTTGCTGTCTTTTCCGTCTGTTTCACAGTTTTATTGTGAGAAAAGGACTGCGGAGAAGTTGTGTATGGTGCTTTGTAGAAGAAGGGTGGGCTACAACAGTCCTAATCTGAGTTGGTATTGCTGCTATTGAAAATGGAATATATTAAAACAGTTTCATCTGTGTAGTCATGCACCCATTCATTTGTTCCTGCTTTCAAGCATTGCTTATAAAAAGAAGGGATCGTCTCCAAACTAAGTTAAAATTCATTCTCTTTTAAAATGACCGTGACTTTTTCGTACTAGCGCCTAACCACAGATTCGATCAAATTCAAGAATGTCTTTTCAGCATGATTCACATGTAATTCTGCTACAAAGAAAATCCCAGATTTGTTTACTGGAACAAGATTCAGAATATGCTGTTCTGGTTAATTTAACAGTTTTCCTTAGTGCAGGCGGGAGGGGGGGGATTGTGTACAGGAGAAAAATTAGCTCTCTTGACTTTAATGAAACTGCTTTAATGAGCATGTTCTAAGCATTATTAAACTTGGAAATGTGCTTAATAGCTAGAGAATGGCCTTAGAGCATCATTGTACATTTATATAGAAGCTGGAGGTTATTAACTTTCATAAATCAACTTTAAAATTAGAGAGCAAAGCTGCTCTACCACTGGGAAAGCGCTGCTATAAGAGCATTGACAACAACTAATTTTATACATACATTTATATCTAAGAACGTCAGATAAGTTTGCAGGGTAAGGATCACTAAGCTATTTAAAAAACCATTGTTTTCCACGCAACTCAGCCACAGGCTTTAGCCAGCCCTACATGGGAAGTTATTTGTGCTCAGAGTTGGAAGAGACCTTGGAGATCATCTAGTCCAAACCCCTGATGAAGCAGGAGACCCTAGAGCAGGGGTCGCCAACCTTTTGGACCTCAGGGATCACCAAACTCATAATTTTAAATCCCAGAGACCATTAACTGGTTCTGTGGGTGTGGCCTAATTTGGGGGTGTGGCTTGGTGGTCATGTGACTGGCTGGGCATGACTTGTATGTAAATATTATAAATATTTATATAAATATTGAAATTTTTATTTAGAAAAAGAGCAACTTTTACCCAAAAGCAGGCAAAGCAGGCAGGCAGATTGAGTTGCTCACAGAATCATTCAGTGATCTATCTATCTGCCATTGGCTAGCTCAGTCTGTCACATAAAATTTGCTTGCCGTGAGTCTGCATTGAATAATAGAACCTTCAGTCCTAAGGGAGGTTCGGCTGTACTTAAAAGCAGAGCTGAAGATCTAAAGATGAGCTAGAAAGCAAGAAATCCAACCATTTCCTGCTTCCTAGCTAATCCAAATCTCCCGGCACAGCAGAGCAGCTGATGAAAAATAGCAATTTAGCAGGCAAGTTTGCCGGGTAAGGAGTGAATGGGTAGGGAGGGTTCCCGCGGGCCATGTGGGCAGTGCAGCCTTGTATTTCTGTGCAGCCTGGATTAATTGATTTGTGGGGGTGCTCTGGGGGTGAGATTTCTCTGTGGCCCACCAAAATGTTCTTGTGCAGCCCACCAGTGGGCCACAGCCCATCGGTTGGCGCTAGACCATTTCAGATAGGTGGCTGTCCAATCTCTTTTTAAAAGCTTCCAGTGATGGAGCACCCACCCACTGTTCCACTGGTTAATGATCCTCACTGTCAGAAAGTTTCTTCTTAGTTCCAGGTTGCTTCTCTCTTTGATTAGTTTCCATCCATTGTTTAGTGTCTAGTCTTCTGGAGCTTTGGAAAACAAGATGACCCTCTCTTTTTTATAACATCCCCTCAAATACTGGGATAATGCTATCGTGAACCCCCTAGCCCTTCTTTTCTCTAGAGTGGCCATACCCAATTCCTGCAACTATTCTTCATATGTTTTTGTCTCCAGGTCCTTAGGCATCTTAGTTGCTCTTCTTTGCACTTTTTCCAAAGTCTTAACATTTTTTTTTTGTAATGTAGTGAGCAAAACTGGATCACTCCTCCTGCTCCTCTTCTTCTTCTTCTTCTTCTTCCATGTTCAGAATTTACCTTTTTCCCCCCTCAGAATTTTCCTTTGTTGCTGAGTGTTGATAACTCAAGGCACAGCCAGACACCAATCCAGCTGCCATCTTAAATCCATCTCAGTTTGCTCAGTAGGACCAGCAATTGGGTGGCTTTGCTTAATGATGGTACAGTAACTGTGCATTTGTGAGAATGTGCCCCTTTGTGTGCAGTAAAGTACCAGTGTTTTTAATCATTTCTTTTAGGCCACCAGAGACAAGATTTTTGACATATTTTGATACTTCGGAGAAAATGTGCCTAGGATGGCTGGGAATCTGCTGCTTATAAAAAGGAGTGGCCTTGGAAAAAGAACACAGCATTAATTCTTTTTTTTTTTTTTTTTGTAAATTTTATTTGAGTTTTCACAAAGAGAAAAAAAAAAGTACAAATAAAACATCTTTTTTGAAAGTAGGGTAATCCCGGGTTACATTTCTCTGTACAGACACAAATTCAGGTTCATGTTCATTTTTATATTCTATTCCATATCTTATTACTATTTTACATTTTCTGCATAGCTTCTCCCCTCTTTTAATTTTCTCAATTTTATTTTAATTATCTCATCTCAATTCAAATCATTGTATTTATATTTTTGTCTGTCCTGTTTCAATTATCTATTATCTTTTCTCATTAAACAA